ACAATCTGTATATGCAGATAATAAGTGCAACATATAATGAGATCCTGCTGCTTTGCAGATGTGGATTTAGTCCCATCAGGGTTATTATTTTCAATCCATTTACACAACTCATAATGTCCTCTCATCATAGATTAATATCTCACAACATTGTTGTAGCAGAATCGCATGTACGGTATTACCAACATATGCTGACAGCAACATATTCTGCCATATCTAGCATCTAAAAATGATATATTGTATACACCCAGCATATCAAAAAAACATATATATTTTACAATGCCTGTCTAATGTAGTAAATATGCTCTACAACAGAGTCTGTTTATCCCAACTTATTTTCCGTTGAATAATGAAAGACTAGGAAAAAGCACTTTACAACGGGTAAAAAAGCTAAATTGTAAAAGCTTTATTATGTCAATATCTTATCTTTACTAAGTATTTATATGTTCCTGTCTTTCTAAAAAGGTTCAGTTTAAAGCGATCTCGAGCTGGTTTCTCCAAAATTACCTACCCCACGGTAGGTAATTTTGGAGAAACCAGCTCGAGATCGCTAGAATTTGAAAATACACAGCCGGAAAAAATCTGCCACTTCCTTACAGAGCCCCTCCTCCAACACACACGAACGCGCACACGACCAATGAGGGCACGAGATAAGTTTGTGCACAGATGGAAGGCTGACAGGCAGGTAGGCCATCCAGTTATTTTAGCCGGGCCGGCTCAGATGATTGGTCGTAGTTTTTACAGTACTACGGCTTCCACAGATGATATTTTTTAATGTATTTATTGTCAAAGCATTTAAGATATTCATTGCTATCGGGATGTTAAGAGCATTCCATGGAATATAACAAAAAGTGTATCTGAAATAAATTACATACCCCACCTTTAACAGTTTGTATACAAATATGTCAAAGCTTGAATACACTAAATAGCGGGGGTCATCTTAACAAGTTACTCCACTGGGAAATGCATTAAATGTGAAAAAATGTGTTCCCCTTTTATGTGTTTAATATGACATATTTTAAACGTTAAGACGGATGATATTTTAAGACAATTTGGGGTTGTATAAGTTTAAGGGTATTTGGTTAGTGTTAGGAGTTTTTTTGGCTTGCAATGTTTCCCTATACGCACTCTCCAGCTGTAGATGTGTTAGTAATATTTAATGTAAATACTTATTTTAGTTATGGGCCCCTATTCTAAAGCTTAGGATAATGTATTGGGGTGTTCTATTTCACATAATGTCCATTATTCACTTTTTAACTGTCACTGAATAAAATGAATTTAATATATGAGAAAAAAACATTTATACAAGTATTTGAGGGCGTTAGAGAGAGACAGACGAGGAGGAGAGCCGGGGAGCCCGGGCAGACAAGCCAGCACAGGCTCCTGCAGCCAGAAAGCTGCCCCCCCCCTGCACACCAACTCCCCCGCACCCCCACCCAGGAGGTTGCCCATTGTTCCCACATCTCCTAAACAAAGCATGCCCCCCCACCGCAACCAGCACCCCTTTCCCCACCTACCCCCATTGCACCCCGCCCCACCCTCCTCCTCCTTCTCTATCACTATCAGCATTGAGGCTCTAATAAGAAAAAAGTGACGAGATGTATCCCTATTGATATTGCTACATGCCTGACCTGAACACAACACGCATACAATTACATTATAAGGATACAATGCAAAATAATTATAGAAAATAGTAAGAATGCATTGAAAAAAAGAGTGTAGGGACCCTGTACGTTTAATAAGCTTTAAAACAAAATTTTATTTAAAAATAAATATATCAAATTGTCCAATTGACACCTTCGTAACGGCAAAAACACGGTCTTCACGGTCAGGAGCATCACGTAAATTCCCTGAATCACCTGTTGATTCATCCAACTGTCAAACTGACAATTCACACTTTTAACTGCTAAAGAAAAAGAAAAAATCGCATAAAAAATAAATGTGACAACATCTGAGCATCACAAGACAGCATGTCATTCCAAGAAGATTAATCCTCTTAATCTGGGTTCCATACAAATCTGTGTGTCGGATTTCGTCTAGAAATATGACGACAGATAAAACAATGCGGCGGACGGCTCCACCATATTGTGCCAGCATTGGTGAAGTGTGTGAACACACACTCAGACATGTGCACGTACACAGCGGTGGAGGCTAAAGCACACAGAGGCCATATGGTGCGTCCTCATCCACCGACGCCTGTTGCTGCTGCAACAATAGGCCTGCCTGGCCTGGACAGCAAGAGGCAAACACACACACAAATGTGCACACATACACACACCAAATGGTCGTTAGTCAGCCGGTCTGCGTTGCTTAGGCCCAGAACAAACGCCTGGATTTGCATTCTGTGCCTCCATTCGCCTCCTCCTCCTCCTTTCTCTCTCTCACACACACACACACACACACACACACACACACACACACACACACACACACACCACACACACACACACACACACACACACACACACACACACACACACACACACACACACACACACACACACACCACACACACACACACACACACACACACACACACACACACACACACACACACACACACACACACACTTCGCTGGTCTCTACAGGTGCACGGAGCACTCAAAACAGATGTCAACGGACTGGAGAGGGAGGGGGGGGAAAGTGGAGGGGGCTATTTGCCCAGGGTGACTGATAAAGCTTTGTACACTTGCAGGCCTAGACACAGCAAAGACAATGACACACACACGCATACACACACACACAAATGCATCCCCTTCCTCTGTTACTATTTCCAGACTGCCTGATTTATCCTTTAGAAACACTCCATAAGACTACAAAGGAAAACAAAATGTGTAATGTGCCCAAAAGTCAAGATTTTAAGAAGGTTTTTTAAATCCCAAATGGATTTTTCTCACTTTTCAATGAGAAATGACATCATATTATTGGTGGTATAAATCATCTCACAATACATTCATTTATTTATTTTATCTGCCACAGGTGAAGCAAAACGTACTCTACACACTATATAAACATGCATATGTCTTTATGAGCATGTTTTTTTCTATGCGGATTAATAAAGATTTATCTTATCTTAAATGTAATAAAAACCCTAAATATGTTAGGTCTAAAAACAGAAAGATTTTCTTTTTTTTGGGATATTTGTAACTCTGTTAAAGGTCTTTTTTGTCTCAAATGCAGTTTTTCTTGTATAATGGAATCATGTTTGAATAATATTTAAGGACATTGCTTTGAATAATAAGGCGATAATAGACAGATAACAAATTTAAAACAATGTGTCATTAGGAAAGTAATCTGAATATAACATTGACGACAAACTTACATTCATTTGAATTTAATCATTGAACTTGATCTACATCATCTCATTAATAAAACAAATCATTTATCCCCATTTTACAATCTTATTCATCCATACGTTCTCTATTAAAAGGAGACAAAACTACTCTTAATTGAAATCCTTTCATCCAGCGCACCCCTCCCCTCGTCTGACAGATTGATTACTGTTACAGAAGTAAAGCAGCGAGTGTGTTTCATCCTACAGGCTGTCATCTTCTCTGATAATTACATCGTGGTTTGGCCTGCATCACCATGCATCTCTGGCAAGAGCAGTGCTTTAATCAATATTTAAAAGGAAATACACAACATAAGTCCATATGGGGTTATTATAAGATACTGCGGGGGGTTTAAAAGCTGTAACATTTACCAGACACTTAAAACATATAGGATGTTACCTGGAATCTATAGAAATAAGCTAAATAAGAAATATGAATCATGTTAGAGGCTACTGTTGAGGGATTTAAAAAGCTCTCTTTCAAAATTCACCAAACACATAAAGCCTATGCGATGTAACCTGGAATCAATAGAATATATATATATATATATATATATTTAAATAATAGGCTACTGTGGGGGATTTAAACATCTTTGAGGTCTCTTAAAAATGTCATCAGACACCTTAATAATAGAAGATGTTATCTGGTTTAGGAATTAAAAAGGAAACAAAACATATCAATCATTCTATAGGCTACTACTGGGGATTGTAAGAACTTTAGGGTCCCTGCTAAATCACCTGCAGCAACTGACATCTAAAACATATAACCTGTAATCAATAGAAATAAAATATATGTTTATCAAAATCTATAGGCTACTGCTGGGGCATTTGAAGAACTTTAAGGTATTTATAAAAAATAAAAAAAAAGGATGCCACCGCAGACAGACACCGAAAACATATGACATGTAATCAGGTGTAGAATGAAAGTAAATAAGAAATCTGAATTATATTTCAGAATGACCCAAATAGCTGAGTCTACAAACTGTAGGCTACATGTTATGAATACGCATTAAAGATGAAAAAGGTGGGAACAAACTCAAATGAGTCTTATAAAATGACTTCTATACCCTTCATATTTTGTCTTTAAGATGGAGAGGTCAGTCAGGGAGTAATTTGTGAGCAGATCCAGCAGCATCCTGTCTGATCTGCTCTCATTGAGCATAATGTGCTCTGTCCTTTTGGTAAACACTGGCTGTGTGCAGTTCTCAGCCTGTGGCCTGTTCCTGTGACTGGGGCCTGGGCTGGAGAGGAGAAAAACCCCGCCGATGCAACAAGTCTCCCATTCACTCAGCTTTGTTAAGCTTCCTCCCTGCGCTGCAGCGAACATGTTTTCATCTTTTTCCCGTTACGTGTCGGTCAAACCAGTAACCTAACTGATGGAGAAATACCCCCCGGCATGCATTTAGGAGAAGAATAAGGTTTTTGGTGTCGGGAAAATAGGATAAACTGGAGAGAAAGCGATAATCCTCGCTCTGAAGCTCACACGGTAACGCATTAATAAGCATGTTAGACTTGTTTAACATCTATTGGAAGGTAAAGCGTGTCGATTTCGCTTAAATTATTTGAATTTCAGCTTCAGTGATCACTTCAGGGTTTCAGAAACAAGCGAAACGTCCGAGGGCTCTCAGACCGACGCGCAGGCTGACGGGGGGACTCCTCCTGGGGAACTTACCTCGATTCATACGCCGCTTTATGGATTAATTCCCACACTTTTCCACGGATTGGAGTCGCAAGAGCATCGGGAAGCACTCCGCCAACTCCAGAGTGTCCTCACGGTTTTGGTTTGATGGATAATCGGACGCGCTGAGTGCGTAAAATGCGCAGCGTCTCTCCAAGGATGCGAAATATGCGCGGAATGGGAGCAGGAATGAAATGAACGCAGTGGACTGAGTTGAACGGGGCGGGGTGAGAGGGGCTGGCGTCACCCTCCCTGGATGGATGAAATAGAGTGAGTGAGAGATGGGAGGATGGGTGGAGAGGAAAAAAAAGAAAAAGAAAGATAGCGGGGGGGGGGAAGGGGCCGGACTGTATGGGTGCGTTCAACAACAAAAGAAAAGAGTGGAGCGCCCAAACTCTATTCACAGGAGGAGGAGAATGGGTCGAGATAAAAAACCACGGTCTGCTGTGCATGGCCGAGCAGCTGACAGCGAATCAAACAGGCTGTACTGAAACATAGTCACCACATCTCTGTGTGAGTTACATTACAAACTTTTTTTGCAACATAGACTACAATTCAAGACTAAGTAAGAATTATGCAAAACAAAACAAAAATAGTTATTTTTTATGTAAAACATTATTTTAAACAAATAAGCAAGACTGTGTTTTTGTTCTCAAGATTAAAGGTTTAATTAATAAGAAATAAAATGGACACTTGATCAATTCCATTAGCCTAACTTGGTATGAACAGCAGCTAATGGTCATTTAATTTATGTTTTCAATGAGACGTAAAGTACACAATTATTTGTATCAATGAAAACACCATTTAACCACGTAAGCAAGACTCTTTTTAAAAAACATTTTCGTAAGATTTAAGGTTGTATTAATAAGCAAAACAACTGACACTTGTTCTCATTTGCCTTACTTGGTATGACCAGAAGCTTATGGTAGTTTAATAGCGACAAAGTTAGTCCTAAAAATGTCCCATAACTAAAAGAAAGTGTTTTATTATTAAGTAGAACATCATTATAAACATGTATGTAAGACCATATGACTATTTACAGAAGAAAAACACATGTTCTCTTTAAGATTAAAGGGTTACTTCATTACACAGCAGCTAATGGCTGATAAGCTAAGCGACTGATGTTAGCTAACTTGAGATAGATATTGTTGCGTAACTGACAAATTGATAAGGTTTCTCGATTTAGTGACTATTTTCATCTGCCACTGTCACAACAGCTTGGTCAAAGCCGCTGCTGTTCAGCCAAATTAAATGGTCTTAGTTTAAACACAACATTTTGCTCAATTGAGACGTTACTCGTTTGCATTTGTATATTTCTAAAAGAAAAGCCCCCTTTAACCCACAATTGAAAATAGTAAGAGTAAAGTTATTGAAAGGAAATAACGTATTTAGGATTAAAATTTACCGGGAGCATCTCAAAAAACACATTTAAGCTACGTTAGCATATCAATAGCTAATTGTTGTTTTTAGTTAGCAAATTTTTTTGGTAGCAGTAGGAATACACGCAACAATAATATAATCCTCCTTGCTTACTCATTGCGTTAATATTATACCTCTAGCTAAACCCTAACTGTCCTAACTTTAAATGAACAAGCAGTGGAATTAAACTTATTCTCTGAGGCCCCCTGGACCGCCTTGAAGGACCCCAGGGGCTTATGAGGACCCCACTTTTAAAAGCCACTGCCCTAACCAGAACATCTTTGTCTCCCTCTCAGATCTCTGAATGCAGCAGGCAGCCGCCTCCGCCTCATAAAGGAGTTGTTGTTTACTACTAAGCTCTGCCTTTCTCAGGTTACACCCCCCAGGCACTGCCTGACTGTCATCTCCCTAGAGGGAGGGGCTGTGACATAAAACAAACACAGATATGCCAGTGTCACAGCCTGGAACACCTACTGCAACCAGACACTACAGCCAGGCGAGCTAACAGACTAGCATTCCACATGGCAGCGTGTCATGTGTTTGTGTGTGTGAGTCAAATTCTCACTGATGCATACAAACACACCCTCACACAGCTGACTCACATGTGGACTGGACAGAGTGTGTTTCATCTTTGTGGAGGCATGTGTGTTTCATTCTCAGACTCAGTGCAAACACAGAGCAGGCTAGTCAAAGATTTAGCAGTGACCTTAAGGTCAACAGTCTGACTTTAATCTGACATCACCTGGTTTACTGATGTTTTATTAATGTTGTCCATGTCTGGGATTCTATATCTCCTCTATGGAGGGCCAAGCAATTAAATAGAAGGGAGAAAAATACATTTATTATTTAGAAATGTATGAAGTCAACATTAGCTAGCTGAGATTTATGCACCCTTGGTTTGTGGGTCATAAAAAACATCAAAATCACTACTTGTCAGAGTACTGCAGCCATATAACTAAAATAGATTTGACTGTGTATCCTGAGAAACTCTTTGAGTGCTAAAAATACTTTTTTAGAGGGACACATTTGTCGAGTAAGCTGTACTTGGGGCAATGCTGCTTTAGAACCTTCTAATCTGTGCATTGATCTTAATCTGTGTATACTATATTATTTTGGTCTCCTTGCTGCTTGAAATGAAAGACAGGAAAGTTAAGATGGGGTGTATCAGAGATGAAAAATGTCAACAAGAGCCCTCTTGTGGTCTGTGGGTAGGATTCTGAACAATAAGGGTGTGGAGACTGGACCAGATTCATAATCATTGAGTTCATGACATATAGGCAGAGGTTGAAATAAAGAGCGTACTCAATCCCAATAAATAACACTGTTCACAGAACCCTTGAGCATGACACCACACTTTGCGACTTTATTCAATGCGTGGTGAATTCGCAAAAGGATTGTATAGCTTTTGCAATCGGTTAAACCTACAGAAAAAAGAAAGAAACGGATTGATTCTCAAATCTCTCGAAATGGTTAAAATACAACCATGACTACAATGCAAAGCCTATTTACAAATACTTAAATTAGGTTAAATGCATAAACTGCGCAAAATTGGGCCATCTATTCAAATTAGCCAGTCCAATTCACAAAAGTGCTAAAAACCAAAGTGCATAAATATTACATTTATTAGCGTCTTCAGAGACTGCTGATTAAGCACATTTATCCTTTTGACAGATTGAGATAATACATTTTAATTTCAGCTTTGCTCTGTCACAATTAAATTACTTTTCTGAGGTTTTGAGGAACGCATCTGCAGCTTGTTAGCAAAGACCTGACGCTCACAGTCCAAACATTTCTATTTTTATTTTCTCGCTGCCATGGACTAACAAATGCATTAAAAAACAAGTAAAATGAACTACAATAGGTTTTTTTAAGTCTGATGACACACCAAACACTAACTGTATGAGAACGAGGATATTGCCTAGAAAGTCTGCGTTAACCATTGTTTTAGTACCCGACCCGTTATCTCTGATTATGGTTTAAGGCTTTAACAAGCCAGGTATGTCGAAAGAAAACCTGGCTTTGTCAAAAATCACTTACTTCTGTGCTTACATGTGCTGTTTTAAAATGCAGAGCCCTTTGAGTACCTTGGCATAGGCGGATTTTGCGGGGGGTCAGGGGGGGCATTGCCCCCCCTAGTGGCTGAAATATGTTACAGCATTACTACGTTGAAAACTGTTCCAATACAAATATTTCATATATCAATATTTTAATAAGGTAGGACACTGGTTAATAATATTGTAGCGTGTTCAAGTAACCAAGGGATATAGTAGTTATCAAATAAGTATAAGATGTGCACAGTTATGATACGTTTTACAGTTATGTAATGCACTGTTGTTGGGGGGGAGACCGCCCCTTCCATATGAGTGTGTGTGTACGGCGGGCATGGAAAAGTCATACTCAGTGCGGTGAGCGCTGGCTTTATTGCTACTGTATCCGTAGCACCCCACGCAATAGTTGGGACTGCGTACTGACGTCAGTAAAAAAGGTTTGCCCCACCAAGCGCAAATGTCAAACTCCGCCTATGTACCTTGGTGCACTCTTAACGGTTCAAAAGTTAAGTTTGGAGCGCTGGACACTTCCAACTCCCAATGGTCACTATCTTGGCAACGTAACAGAACCATGTGACCAGTAGGGATTGTGGTTGGTCTAGTGAACAAAACACTATTAAAAAAAAAAGGTACACATTTATTATAAGTGATGTACCACTATACTATTTTTGAAAAGAAGTCACTTTTAATTTTATAGGATTAATTAAGCCATCTGTAAAGATTTGGTAGCGATATATTTCTAGCTACCTAGCTAGCTAACAGCGACCATCGTAATTTCCTGTTAAGGCACAGCAGCCGTGTGGGATTTGAGACAACTTTACCTGGTCAAAATTCAAACACTGCGCAAGTGTTCAAGCTGCACGACTTGCAGTGTACTAAGAAAAGTAGCCGAATTGAGGAACAGCACCTGCCTCTGTCGAACTTGCCAAATATTGCAACATTAAATATGATCAATAAATGTTGCAGAACTATCCATAACAATCTTTTATGTTTTAAAAGACTCTTATAGGTCAATAAACATTCCTTTTTTCGTACTATAACGAATGTATAATTACATCAATTTCTAAAAGGAACACCAAGGAGGACCAGATCTATGATATGCTGAAGAATCAGAATGTTGGTCTTGACGACACAATTTTTACTGTAGTATAGATTCAAAAACTGTGCCGCATTTTTGAGAAAGACGACTGCTGACCCTTGACTACGTAGGATTCTCTGGGAGGGGGTTGGGGTTTTGGGATGGGGGGGTTGTTAATCCTCTTTGCATGTATGTTGCAGATCTGGAACTAGCCCATGAATGTATATGTGCCCTGACATATCCTGTGGGATGTACAGAGGTTGCCAAGACGTAGCCATGTTCACCGTACACTCGGATGAAATGCCTCCTTTGCAGTCTTTGCATTACATCTGGTTAAAAGCAGTCCTCGACAATGATGCACCTTGTGAATTCTGCTCTTTGTGGCTTTTATATATATATCATAATATATCATATATATATATATCATATATATTTATATATATATCAAGAAGAGATACACAATTGTGGAAGCACAAGTGTGTCAATTATACAAGATAAAATATTTAAATGCACTCAACCTTATCCTCGACCCTGCAGAGAACCACACTGAATGGAATTGAAATATAATGGTTAA